GCTCTCAAAGTTGCCTTTCAGTATCAGTATGTCAGCGCAGTTGGATTCAAACGAGGAGATCTGCCAATCTTTGTGGTCCTCACCAAGTTCGCTGAGGGTTCCATCCATGACTTGAGGATTTATTCGAAGAAAGGTAAAGAAACACATTAAGATTTCAACTCGGTCTGGATCTCAGCAGCCAGATACCTGGAAGAGAGAGAGAGAGAGAGAGAGAGCTCGTTGAGAGCGGTACCTAGTTGACTTGTAGCTTTGGACCTAAGCTCTACACTGATTATCCCAAGCCTCAGGTGCCTTTCATTCTCACAGACGGTTCTTGTTGGGGAGGCTTGGTGGACCTAGCCAAGAGGTACATTTCACCTACAACGATCGACTATAAGGTGGTGACTGAGCCAACAGAGTTCCATCATCTCAGACGAGGGATTTTCTCTCAGCCATATCTTCCTACTCTATGGGAGGAGTTTTGTGCTATGGTTGACTTTCATGTCATGGGACTCGGTTGGAAGTGCTCGGAGCTCGCAGGGTTCAGATGGCTCTACATCCAGAGACCGCAACCTCAGGGAGTACGGAGACATGGTTCGAGGCACAAGAAAAGCACAGCAAAACGAGAGATTGAGTGAATGACCCGGAGGGATAAGTGAGGACTCTTGATTAGTGTTGGTCATTCTCCTTATGCGTACTCTCTGAGATTATTATGAGTTCTCATTCTTCCCTCATTTATCTTGTCATTGCTCGAGTCAATCGGTCTTGCTTCTCTTGCATTGACTCTGCCTGATGATTATTCATTTCTGATGATCTTGTCACAATTCTCAAAATTAGTAAATTGGCAAAATTGATGCATGCATGACATATCATAATTTTATGATTATTATTTGCATGGTTCTTTGCTGTGCCGAATCAAAATAAAAGATTCCTAAGACCGCAATATAAGGGTCTCGCTTGAAGCCGGGTGCACACAACAGGACGGGATTTTCTCTATTTAATTTATTTTATTTACTGCAATCATCAACCAAACCGTGGGTGACAGCTTGTTGGCTTTCTGGTCGCCCGAAGTGGCTTGACTAGGAAAAAGTGCGACAAAAATGGCGTCGTTATCGGGGACACGAAAATTTTTCGTGTCCGGAACGAGCCTGGGGCAGCAACCGCTTTGAGCCTTTGATTAGGTCATGAGAACTGTTGACAATGTCTGAATTTTTAAATTGACTCTGACATCTTGAGTGAGTCTTTATTTTATCGGAAGTTTTCAGTCGCTAACTGGGTCTTATCTCTGCATGTGTGAGGCAGCACACTGGACCGAAGGAGGAGACTGACATTACTTATTGGAGAGGATCGAGCTTGATCACAGGCATGCCTTATGAGCCCTAGATGTCCTTGAAGAACTGAGAAAGAAGAGAATGAGTTAGAGGGTAAAAGATTCCATCAAGAATGCAAATTGTTGATTCACTGAAAAAACTCTCAAAATTTACTGTTAAAGGGGTATTCCCCTATCAGTATGATCACTGTTGGGTTTACCACTCTGGCAGTTCGACCATCTGCGTAGTGCTGACTCACTCCTTGGAGGGAGATGTTTATGATATTCGTCCAACTTTGGCAGTTCGACCATCTGCGTAGTGCTGACTCACTTCTTGGAGGGAGATGTTTATGATATTTGTCCCTACGTCAAGAAGGGAGGCTGCAATGATGGTGAGGCCTTTAACTGGTTATGGGAAATTGTTGTTCAATCTATCTACGATGAAAAGGCAAATCTAACCAGGCGAAAGAAGAGAGTGGAATGGGGGTTAATGCCTATAACCTGTGAGACAATTCCAATTCCTCCTATTCCTAAGAGTTATTGTAACGGAAGTAATTGATTGCGAATAGTTAACATGGTACTAAGGTGGAAGGAATGAGAAGGCTGTCATGAGAGCAAGAGAAACTTCAGCAGAGGAAATCAATCAGAGAAGACTGAAATTTGACAGAGTTTCAAGTCCAAGCAAGGAAAAGGTCGAGTGTCTCCTGAGAGCACTGAATGCCCCCGTGCTTGACCAAAACTGAAATAAAATGAAGCGGCACATACCCAAGTGCATCCGGCTCCAATACTGGCTCCAGATGTACTTGAAACATGTGTTTGCTTTACGTTTTGTGGTCCGTTGCATCTCGGCCTACCTCCTCCTTGATTTTCTTGATTTTCTCCTTGATTTTCTTGATTTTCTCTCTTATAGTCAAGAATAATGCCGATATCTTGTAACTGGTTCATCCTGGGATGAATCCGGTCACAAAATGTATCGAAAACATGTGTTTTCTTTTGCTCTAGGTGTCCATTTTCGTTCGTTTCTGTCCCCACTGAATTTGGACTTGATGCAGGCCTGTTCAAGGCTCCTAGGCCTCTTTTGGGAAGGGCAAGTTGGCCATAATGTGGTGGCTGCCCCTTTTTGCATTCCCATACTCTCGTACTTCTCTCATTCTTCCTCTACATTTTTTTCCCCTCACCTTTGTTGTCCGTTTTACTCCGGATCACACTAGGGCCTTATTTTTCATGTTCAACGTACCTATGCCTTCCATATCCAAGACCCTTGTGGTTCGTTGCATCCCCTTTGAGCCCCTTCTCAGCTTCAATTCCTAGAGGCCTCAAAATTGAGCGTTTCCTTTTCTTTTTCTAGCCTTCTTTATCCTGGCCCTCAAGGCCACTCAGTTTTCAGGTTGCCCGTGGCCCGGCACTTGCGTTGGCTCCTGCTAGTCTTTTCTCTGTGTCCCCTAGCTTGGTTTACAGTCCTTAGGCTTTTCTCATGCAGAATGCAGGTGGCCCCCTCTGCCGCTTGCTACTCTCTCACGTGCCGGCGTCACGACACTCTTTTCCTTGCCGTCGCTGGCCACCCTTTTTCCCGCGGCACTTGGTCCTCAGGGTATTATTTTCTCGGCGGCCCCCCTTCTTTGATAAGGAGGGCCGCCTTTACTAATTTCTTGCAGCATTTTGCCACTGATATTCTGTTGGTCCATTTCGGGCTGAATGGTTTTCTCGGGCTTGGGCATCCTCCTGGGCCCTAGGCGTCGGCTCTCCTTCCTTAGTCCTTCATTCTTTATGTCTCTCCTGCTCCCTCATTCCAGATTTCTCGGTCGTGCACATTTTAACCATGTATCATCTCTCAAGGGTCGAGACTTGATTCGGGAACCACAGGTCCCGACGCCGTTCTATCCCGAATGACCTCGACTGTCTATACCTATCCAAATGATTCTCATTCTTGACCCATTCTATACCGAATGACCTCAATTGTTTATGCCTGTCCAAATGATTCTCGTTCTCTACCTGCTCTGACTCTTTTTCGTCTAAGCTACTTTGAGCTGAGGAAAAAAAAGAGAACAACTGAACTTTATTTGAGGTGGACATATTTTCTCTGTAGGAAGAATCCGGGGCGGGGTTCGTTGCTTTAGGAGTCGGCCCTATTATCGACCCAGGGTGGACCGTTCGACGAAGCGGTACTCTGCCGATTCGATGGAGACGGTCCGACTTCTGAGATCTGAGTCTTGTGCTCGAGCAAGGAGGAGTACCCCAGACCACTGCCTAGAGGGTGAGACATGTGGTACATGCCCAGTTGGGCGATGTACAGCTAAAACCAAGGATCCGCAATGTGATGAAAAGGACTGAATGGACAACGCAGTGTTAGTGAAACCTCAACAACCAGTGTACATCCTGATTCATACAAAATGGTGTTTTTATAGCGCAATGGAAGATTTAGTTACAAGTCTTGACCTAACCGGGACTGACCTCTCACACGTAGTACAAGACAGCGTAGCAAAATACTAGAATACCAATGGCTGGTCCAATCAATGTCGCAATGCAGATCAAACATACATCATCCTTATCACAAGGTGTGAAGGGGCCTGGCGCTACACACAGGAAGAATGCGCCAGGTCCAGATCATGCACAAACGAAAAGGAGGGAGTCAGTCGAAGAAGAGGGGGGTGAGATGGGAATGTCGTCACACCAAGTCTTCGTTACAAGTCCTAAATAATCCCTCGTCAAATATCTGAAACCCAATGTCGAGTCTGGACCAAATGTCACCAATCCTGATCTCTCGTAGTCTGCTGATGCAGTGAAGTTAGGTAGTGAGGGGGTTAGAAGAAGATGGTGGACTGAGAAGAGGAAGAAGAAGAACTCTCTCTCTCTCTCTCTCATGTGCCAGGTACTCACCTGTGAAGATGGCATTGTGCTGCAAGTACCTCGAAGACGAAGCTGGAGCTATGGCGCTGCAGGTAGATCTCCTTGGCTTCCGCCCAATCTCTCTCTCCCTCTAGTACTACTCTACCTCCTACTAGCGCCCAACGTTGAAGACTATTGCTAACGTTGCTAGCGCCCAACGCTGAAGACTACAGCTAGGGCTGCAGCGCTCCTCCAAAGTGTTGCTGCCGTCTCCTGAATTGCACGTGAAGTGCCTACGAAGTACCTAGGAACTACCTGCAGCTTGCAGGGCGGGCCAGTCTTATATAGTGTTGGCCCGTCTAGGAGGTTGCTCTTGCCAATGCCAAAACGCGTCGGACCCTCACGTTGAAGCTCAAACAAAGGTTGTCTTGAAATTAGGCCAAAAATGGTCTGTGCTAAAACCTTGGTCCGGTGCCCGAGTTTCAGGGCAGGTTGATCTTATGAGGGCCTGAAAATGGCCCTCCGTCTCAGGCTGAAAAGACTCCGGCCCTGTTTTAGGCTGAAACGACACAGGGCCTATAGGCCCTTGTTTTCAGGCTTTCAGGCTGAAACGACACAGGACCTGTAGGCCCTTGTTTTCAGGCTTTCGGGCTGAAAATGACACGGGCCTGAAAATGGCCCATGCAGCTTGTTGCAGGCACAACATGTAACACCCCCCCCTCCTTATGAAGTCAAGCCCAGTCGAGGGCAAAGCTGACGATCTGAAGGTCGAACCTGGACGCGGGTGCGACGTGGAGCCGAAGATATAGGCTTGCGTTTCATCTTGTCCGACAACGGGCTGATGATGCCCTTCGGTGTACCGCGTCTTGAACGCGGATTTATAGCGATCGTCCGGCTGGATCGAAATCTGATAATATCCCGACTTCAAATCCAACTTTAGAAAATTACTTTGTGCCACCCAAACGCTCAAGAAGATCGTCGATATGAGGAAGAGGCCCCGCGTTCTTGACGGTTTGCGCGTTGAGTTTGTGGTAGTCGATGCACAATTGTAGATCCTTGTTCTTCTTCCGTACGAAGAGAACTGGCGCTCTGTATGGAGAGCTACTAGGGCGGATCCAGCCCTTGTCCAACAAGTCATCGAGTTGCGCGCGGAGGACCTTAAGCTCCTCCTCGCTCATGTGATAAATGCATCCTTTCGGCGGCACGGCACCAACCTCAAGAATGATCTCGTGAGAGATCGGCCGATCCGGCACCACACCGGTAGGTGACTCGAAGATGTCGGTGAACTCTTCAAGCAACCGCACCACACGGGGGTTCGAAGACAAGTTCGTGGGTGAAGAGTCAGCTACCGTGACGGTCCGTAGGAAGCATAGGCCTATCTCGTTGTGTAAGCGCAAGTAGCCCGGAACGACTTGGCCGTCACCACTTGGCATCGGATCGAAGGGTGCGGAAGAGGAATAGTGCACGACACTTCGGTGCCGAAAGCGTCGCGGACGGTAAGAGTCCGCCGGTTGAAGTTGACCTTGTGATCCGCACTTGCAAGCCAAGGCATTCCCAAAATAACGTCGAAGTCCATGTCCAAAATGTCGAACGTCACCTGTTCGCATGCATGAGGTGCGAAATACACCGGTACGGCCTCGATGTAGCGGTCGATGAGTTGCTGCGTCCTTCCGTCCGCCAACTTGATCGTCGTCGGGTTTGCCTTCCTTCGAACTTGTGTGCCAAGGCCAGCCCTTTGCAGAAAGGCTTGGCTCACAAAATTGCGAGGCACGCCGCTATCCAGCAAAGCGCTGCAGGACACTTGCCCAACTTGGATGCGGGCATAGAGGAGCGGTGTGTTGTAGTCATCGTACCGCTGCTTGCAAAATTCGCGGGCCACCCCTTGGTAACATACGCAAGGATGTCCCCCACCCCGACTTCGTCATCCGTGCATAGAAGGATAAGTATGTGTGAAATGCATTGCGGTCCCGGCAAGCGGCTCGTGGTCGGGAGAGGAAACCATGCGAAATCCTCAGACGTGGGTGGGTCCAATACCTCTATGTTGAACTCGCGCGCCGAATCACGTGAAGAACCACTTGAAGACGATAAGTCGCCTCTGCCGGACGGAGAAGATGTTGCACACAGGTCTTGTCCTTGAGCACGAGTACCCAGCCTAGGAACGAGCCGGGCAGCATAGTCCTCGTAAGAATATAGAAGAGGAGGACTATCGACTTCCTCTTGTGCCTCGGAACGAAGGGCGGTCACCCGCGAAGCGACCGGTTCCGAAGGCGTCGAGAGTGTCATCGAGTCACTCCCAGCGGTGCTCAATTTCCCGATTTGTCTTTGCCTTTCGACAGGCAGCCCATTGTGTCGTGGAGATCGTTGTTACACCACAGACAATAGCGAAATCTCGTGCGTGCTTTGTGCACCTACTCGGAGAGACCGTAGTGGGACCATGGGGCTGGAGCTGTTGCGTTGGGCCCGAGGCTAGATGCGGTGTTTGTCTTCGTCTTGCTACGTCCTCGGCCTTTGCCTGGGGGGCCACCATCCCGGGCCGCTGCAAGTCTGTCCCCTTCATTGGCAGACAAGGCCTCGCCAGTTTGGTCGGTTGGCGTTGCCACCACGACCACGGCCACTTTCGGTCGATGCTGATCTCTGGTCAGGCCTGTCGCAGACGACCGGTGCAGGTTTTTGGCCTCCTTGTTCGTGACAATGATCTGCGCGACCTTGTCGAAGAGCTCTGCCGTTGTCGTCAGGGTGTCCTCAACGTGAGTCAAGGCGTTGCCCAACGCCGGACACGACCTCGAGATGAAGTAGTGTTTGACGTCCTTGAAGCCCATTTGAATGTCTGGGAGGGATGTCAAGCGTTGGTACTCGGCAATCCAGTCAACACTCGGCAGCGTGCCTTGTTCGAAGGTCATCAACTTGTCCATTGCCTTGATCTCCGACAACTCTACTTGGAACCGCTTATGCCACGCCGCCTTTAGATCATCCCTGCTGATCTTGGTGTGCAAGTCGACAGCCACCACTCCGTACTTGGACAGGAGATTGTCCAACCATGCTTGGCACGCGCCCCCCGAGCGGGAGTGTAAGTACACGTGATGCTTGTGCTCGCTGACGTAGTGTAGCTGCAACTTGAGTTCGAACTTGTGGAACCACGGAATCGGGTCCGTCTTCGTCGAATCACAGAAGATCTCCTGATCATCGAACTTTGGAGTTGTCTCGCGCGATTTCGATCTCGAGTAAGTGGCGGCAGTACAGATCCGCTGCTCGAACTGTTGCGTGGCGTTTTGCTGTAATTGCACACCGTCCTTGAGGGATCCAATGTCAATCTCCAATGCCTCGAGGCGATCGAAGGTGTTGGAAGAGCTGGCAATGAGGGCGGCAACGGTTTGTTCCAACTGCTGGAGGCGGCTGGTGAGTTGGTCAAACACCTGATTGTGCGTATGAACCGCGTTGTTGAGGTGGTGAATGTCCTCCGGCTGTGCAATGCACGTGGCCAGGAGGTCCGTGAGATGGGAGAGGAGTAGAGCGATCTTGTTTCCACTCTCTTCCAACTTCCCATTATCGTCCTCGGCCCGCCAGTCCACTTCCATTGTGAGCAAAGCTCGCTCTCCGCTGAATATCTTCTCGCGTCGTTGAAGTCGTTCTTCATCGGCAACCTTTGTTGCTGCCTCGTCTTGCTGGTGTTGTTGTTCAATCGCCAACAGACGTGCCTTCTCGGCATCCTCTGCCTTCTTCTTTGCTGCGGCTGCTACTGCATCCGATTGTTGCTTGGCTTCGGTAATCAGAAGCAGCATCCTGGCCTGATAGGCCTCGTCCGTTTCCGTGGACTTCTGGTCCATGACGACTGTTTGCGAGCGCAAGAGCATAGACCTGGCTGGGGGCCTCCTGACATGGCACTACTGTCGGCTGACGTGGCCTGCTGACGTGGTCTGCTGACGTGGCAACTCACCAATGCCGCCGCAGGGGGTACCCGGAGACAAATAGAGAAGGTAAGACCAGAGGGGGCAACAACATAGGTGGGGAGGGGTGAGTGGGATAAATCACCTAGATAAGGAGCCACTAATTAAAAAAGAAAAGTCTAAACTTTGCAAAGAAATTAGAGAAGAAAAAAATACTCATTTGCAAGTTTAGTAGGCTTCCCAATTCCCCCTGAAGTGCGAAATTACCCTGAGGAAAAATTCCGAACTTTCAGACTGCAAATGATTGTCCGATAAGAATTCTGAAAAAACGAAATACAACAAATACTCGGAATTACTCATGTGAGAGTAGGCGCAGTTGGAGAATGATAACTGCAAGAGGGATTTCCCGTACCATTTAACAAAAAAAAAGAATTTCAGAAAAAAATATTCCGGATTTCCAAGTAACGGGAAATTGCAAAAGGAAATTGAAATTTTTGACAAGAGATGTTCCGGATAAAAATCGTGATTTGGGGGGCTAACTAGTGTGCTCTAATCATGCTCAAGACTAATCAGCCACCTAGTTCCGGCACACGTGTCAGATCAGGTTGTCCTGATTCACTTTGGGCGATGTACATCTAAAACCAAGGATCCGCATTGTGATGAAAAGGACTAAATGGACAATGAAGTGCTAGTGAAATCTCAACAAGCAGTGTACATCCTGATTCATACAAAATGGTGTTTTTATAGCGCAGTGGAAGATTCAGATACAAGTTCTGACCTGACCGAGACTGACCTCTCACACGTAGTACAAGACAGCGTAGCGAAATACTAAAATGACAAGGACTGATCCAATCAATGTTGCAATGCAAATCAAACATTCATCATCCTTATCACAAGGTGTGAAGGGGCCTGGTGCTACACACAGGAAGAATGCGCCATGTCCAGATCATGCACAAACGAAGAGGAGGGAGTCGGACGAAGAAGAGGGGGGTGAGATGGGAATGTCGTCACACCCAGTCTTCGTTACAAGTCCCAAATAATCCCTCGTCAACTGTCTGAAACCCAATGTCGAGTCCGGACCAAATGTCACCAATTCCGCTCTCCCGTAGTTTGTTGATGCATTGAAATCAGGTAGCGAGAGGGTGAGAACAAGATGGTGGACCGAGAAGAGGAAGAAGAAGAACTCTCTCTCTCTCTCTCATGTGCCAGGTACTCACTTGTGAAGATGGCGCTATGATGCAGGTACCTCGAAGATGAAGCTGAAGCTATGGCGCTGCAGGTAAGTCTCCCTGGTCTCCGCCCAATCTCTCTCTCCCTCTCGTACTAGTCTACCTCCTAGCACCCAACACTGAAGACTACTGCTAACGCTGCTAGCGCCCAGCGCTGAAGACTACAGCTAGCGCTACTACTACCGCAGCGCTCCTCCAGAGTGCTGCTGCCGTCTCCTGAAGACTACCTCCTGCCTCCTGAACTGCACGTGAAGTGTCTGGGAAGTACCTAGGTAGTAGGAACTACGTGCCGCCTGGAGGGTGGGTCAGTCTTATATAGTGTTGGCCCGTCCAGGAGGCTGCTCTTGCCAATGCCAAAACTTGCCAGACCCTGGCGTTGAAGCTCAAAAAAAGGTTGTCTTGAAAACAGGCCAGAAAATGACCTGTGCTAAAACCCTGGTCCAGTGCCCGAGTTTCAGGGAAGGTCGATCTTAGGAGGGCCTGAAAATGGCCCTCCGTTTCAGGCTGAAAAGACTCAGGGCCGGAAAGGCCTTGTTTTAGGCTGAAACGACACAGGGCATGTAGGCCCTTGTTTTCAGGCTTTCAGGTTGAAACGACACAGGGCTTGTAGTCTCTTGTTTTCAGGCTTTCGGGATGAAAACGACACGGGTCTGAAAAATGGCCCATGCAGCCTGTTGCAGGCGCATCATGTAACACATGCAACACTTTAAGTAATGCACCTAATCAAGAATCATTCTCAAAGCAACATGTCATCCAATAAGATTAGAAACATATGAAGACGGGTGTGTTTGCCTAATCCTAGGTCGGCAATAGGGTGGAATGAACGACTTTGGCAGCGCGTCTTATCAAGTTAAAACTGAGGCAGACCGATTACCTTGTCGGTCGTATCGAGGTTACTGTCGGAGCGAATTTCTTTTTGCGGTTACATGATTATTTTTATTTATGGAGTTCGGCCCGAGGTGGTCGAGTTTTATTTCGATCTTGTGTTGTTGGATGTACTATATGATGATTCAAATTCTTTCAGTCATTATTTCAAATTGGATATACCTTCCTATCGACTACGGTCGATTCCTTTTGATATAATTATAAGGGGTTGTTGTAACTTTCTTGAGACTAGTGTCTAAGGGGACTAGGATTGATTGATGGGTTCACTTCTGGTTGAGACCGTCCTAGTCGATCGACGTATGTCACGAGCTTGGGAGATCAGCGCCCCGAGCCTCGAGCAACATTCGGGGTACGATGGCATTTTACTCAAGCGTACCTATGCTAGAACGAAACGAGCAAACGTCCTCAACTGACCTACCTCTGCAATTGCAAGTAAAAACTTTCGCATGTGGGTTAGTAGCTCGGTCGGGATACGCCCCTAAGGGTGGTGACAACCCCTTAGGAAAGACAGTTGCGCCACGGGGGAACGTATCCTGTCGTAGGAAACCGCGAGAAGTACAGCTGGCGCACCCGGCTAGAGCGGCGAAGGGACGACGCAAACCACGGTCGTTTTGACGGTCCGCGGGGATATCTTGTGTCGTCCTCGAGTTGTCTCTAAAGTATTTGTTTAGCTTTTGCGTGACATGGCCACAAGGGCTCTCGCTTTTGGCAAGAAGAGGCGGGAGCTGATGAGCTCGACACCGTTTTTGACCGTTAGTTCTTTTTCCTTTCCTTTTCTTTTTTCTTTTCTTTTTCCCCACAAGATTCAGTTAGTAGGGATTCGCCAGTCCCTATTGACGACCAACTTACTCCCTCCTTCTACTCCTCTTTTGTCCCATTCTTCCTTTTTTTTCTCCCCTTTTTCTTTTCCTTTTCTTTTATTTTTTGACATGACAAGTGTCAACTAGCTGTTGATATTTTTTCTAGGCCATAGATCGTAATCTAGGCCTAGATTATGCTCAACGGGCAGTCCGTTATTTCTCGGACTGCAATTATGGCACCCCCATGCTCATGGGAGCCCCATTCTGCCACCGTTAACTTTAAACTTTGCCCCGTTTTGCTCCGATTTTCCCTTGGTAGCGTAGGAGGAAGAAGGTGCAAGGTGTTTGTCTATGGCTGATGCGTGATGGAGGTGGAGGAGGAAGAAGGTGCAAGGCACTTGGCTATGGCGGATGGGTAACGGAGGTGGAGGAGGAAGAAGGTGCAAGGTGCTTGGCTATGGCCGACRGGWGWTGGAGGTGGAGGAGGAAAAAGGTGCAATATGCTTGGCTATGGTGGATGGGCGATGGAGGTGGAGGAGAAGGTGCAAAGTACTTCGCTATGGTGGATGGGTGATGGAGGTGAAGGAGGAAGAAGGTGCAAGGTGCTTGGCTATGGCGGATGGGTGATGGAAGTTGAGGAGCAAGAAGGTTCAAGGAGCTTGGCGATGGTGGGTCAGTGATGGAGGCGGAGGAGGAAGAAGGTGGAAGGTGCTTGGTTAAGGTGGACGGGTGATGGAGGTGGAGGAGGAAGAATGTGCAAGGTGCTTCGCACATTCTCCTAGTCCTATGCTTTGATCCTTTGGTGCCACCAACCTCTTCCCTCTATTGGAAAGCTACTGGCTTTGCAGAAAATTCAGAGCAACGATTTGCAGAAAAACACTGGCTGGTCAAAATATTCAGAAAACACAGGTGGCAGAAAACTCAATTTTGCAGCACTATCATCCCCCCCTTTTTTGCAGATTTTTTTAGAGGCGAAAAACTTTTATTTTCGTTTCGTACCCCGAATATCGTCAGTTGGTCCCGATATTTTATAGGGTTCTTGTATATACCTTAAAGATGGTCCCTCTAGAATCTTTCCTAATTCTATGGTCATTTGCCCCTACTTGCCCATTTTCGACTTCGCCCGTAGTCGTAGTTGAATTGTTTGGGTAAGGCCATTTTCCGTTTTTTGTGGGAAAACGGACTCAGTCAAGCCTGAAACTTGATAGGATACCTATCTATACCTTAGATATGGGGTCTGCAAACGTTCGGCCACTGCAGACTGTGTGGCCCAAGATGACTTGAGCACCCCCAGGTTGTACCAAACAGTCGGTGGTTGCAAATCCGATCGTAGTAGCAGCAGCCAAACACCGGTCCCCCATCCGACGACAAACAAAACACATGATCATGACTAGTGGAAGCACACTAAAGTGAATCGAGACGCGCCCAAATGAAAGAATGGGCTAAAGCATATAGAAAACTTAACAAAACACACACACATGACACACTAGGGTGAAGCGAAATACCCCCGAGTGGAAGATTGAGCGACGTGGCTAGTAGACGCATGCTAGAGTGAAGCGAGATACATCCACGTGAGAGATTGAGTGAAATGAAGTAGGAAGCTTGATTGAGTACATGCACATGACAAGTAGAAGCACCCTAGAGTGAAGTGAATACACCCAAGCGAAAGATTGAGTGAAAGCATAAAGGAAGCTTGGCAAAACACATGCGAATAACTAGTAGAAGCACAATAGATTGAAGCGAGATATATCCAAGTAGAAGATTGATAGAAAGCATGAAGGAAACTTGATAAACACATGCATATGACTAGAGTGAAGCGAGATACACCCAAGTAGAAGATAGTAGAAAACATGAAGGAAACTTGACCAAACACATGCACATGACTAGCAGAAGCACACTAGAGTGAAGCGAGATACACCCAAGAGAAGATTGAGTGAAAGCATAAAGGAAAGTTGATAAAACACATGCACATGAGTATAGAGAGATACCCCCAAGTAGAAAATTGCGTGAAAGCATGAAGGAAATTTGTTGGAAAGTCTACTAACTACTCTATTCAAGTTTGGATTGTTTATCAACAAGGGGATGAGGAAGGAGAAGACGAAG